ACTATGCATAATATAAGTGTGGGGTGAGGAAACTACTTTCTGAAGTGTAATTGTATAAAACTATTTTTTTATTTAGTTTTTCTTTTAGAACTCGTAGTAGACATAGTCTAGGTAAAAAAAACGAAAATTGAAAAAAAAAATTGAAAAAGCTTGGACTTTTCCCGACGATGGATCTTTTGAACAATTTTCTTGAGGGATAAAAGTCCGATTTAAAAAACACCAAAAAGATTTTTGTTTTTTTATTTATTTTTTATTTTTATTTTTTTTAGAATAGCTAGGTAGTATTCCTTGGTTTTTCTTTGGGCACCAGTTCTTTTCCAAGGATGTAGCTCGAACCGGGCACTTTAATTTCTTTTTAGGAGTAGTTTAGGAAGGAACTGAGTCATTATGAGATACTCATTAACATGGTTGATGCTGGCACATTAGGCTATGACATACATTCTGTTTTCCCGTGTATTTGATTTGAATTGTGAAGCCTGAGTAAAGTAAATAGCCTATTTTGTGACGCCTTTTCTCGCTTGTTTGACTTGTATACCGCATAGTGCAATGTTGCTTAAATTTCTCATTTAATTGTGCTTGCTTGACTTGAGAGTTGAACAGAACCGTCTTGATTGAATCATGTGCAACATGTGTGTGAGGATTCGTGATTCTCTATGCTATCCTGTGTAGTCTAGAACTTGCCCTGTGTGTTAATTGAAGCGAAATTGTAAGTTGTGCTAATCTAGGAGATGACGTAGGCATTTTCTTGCTTGATCATGGATGTGCTTGTCACATAATAATAGAATTTTCCGTTGCTAGGCCCTTTGAGCCTATAGACCTTTCTTTTGGCACCCACATTACAAGTCATCCCCTATTTTGTTCTTAATCTGATATTGATTGAACCTTTACCTCCTAAGGCACTTAGTAGATAAAAGAAGTTAGGTTAGATATTGGGGAGTATCTGTTGAGTGGAACCATGGAAGGGCTCGTTGATGCACTAAAGTTAAAATCAAAGGTCACTAGCCGATGAACTTTAATGTATGGAGTGTGTGAAGAAAAGAAAAAAAAAGAGGAGAAAAGGAAAAGAAAAATTCAAAGAAATGAAAAATGATAAGTGAAAGTACGTAGAAAAATACACACCACCAATTCTTATTGATTTGTGCTAGTGGAAATATAGAAGTGCTTAATTGAAAAGAGGACTATGTTGTATATGGCAAGTGAATTGGTTGAGAAGAATATGAGCTTGAATTGTGAATGTATTAAAGTGCTTAGGAGGGTTAGCCACTATTTCTAAATGTATCATACTCGTCCCTTAGCCTACATTACAACCTTAAAGTCCTAATTGATCCTATATTTGGCTAGCTCAAATTAGTAGACATATACACTATGGGTAAGCTTATAGTACGATCACGGGATGCATATGAACTCTTTGTGAGAGTGAGTGAATTTGGTTCAATTGTGTAATGTCCTTAAATTATGTTCAAAGGCATATTTGAATGTGTGAACTAGTCTATATTCACTCTTTTGTTTGTTGGTGAGGGCACATGATCTCATGAATGATTGATAATGTTGTAAACTTTCTTGTTGGGTAAGTGCACGAATTGAGGGTGCTTAGTGGTTGCAAGTCGATTGTTGAGGTTGGGTGGTGACGAATATGTTGTTGGAATTTATTGAATTGAAATATTATACTTGGGCATGCTTAAACGGGAAGAATGTGAAATTTTGTGTGTTCATGCTTACGTGCCGGTATTGATTGTAATCAAGAGTATAGTGTGTGGTTAAAAGTTAAGGTGCTACTCTATGATTGAACCAATTGTTGGATGAAGTTTTGAATCAAGTTGTTATAATCGAGCCGGATTTATGATATGATTGTTTAACTACGTTTTGTATGGTGATTAATTGAATGGGCCCTTGATCAATCATGTCTAATTATCTTATATTGTTTGAGAAAGAATATTAGGTTAGACAGCTGTTGAACAACACCACTTTTGGGTAATTGAAGAGATTCATTACTTGAACTTAAAAGTGGGTTTAGAGATAACGGAACTTTGGTGGGATAATTTAGAGTTGCACACATATTGTCAGCTAGAGTAGTTCGAGAGAATGCTCTAGTAAATTATTATAGTTGATCGAGAGATAATTACGATAACCCATAACTCTTAATCCTCATAGAGTATTACGGAGAGATTATAGCGGAAGAGTCAAGACCTTGATTCAAAACGTAGTTGAACAATCATATCATAAATCCGGCTCGATTATAACAACTTGATTCAAAACTTCCACCAACAATTGGTTCTATCCTTAGTTTTTCTTTGGGAACCAGTTCTTTTCCAAGGATGTAGCTCGAACCGGGAACTTTAATTTCTTTTTAGGAGTAGTTTAGAAAGGAACTGAGTCATTCTGAGATACTCATTGACATGGTTGATGCTGGCACATTAGGCTATGACATACATTCTGTTTTCCCGTGTATTTGATTTGAATTGTGAAGCCTAAGTAAAGTAAATAGCCAATTGTGTGACGCCTTTTCTCGGTTGTTTGACTTGTATACCGCATAGTGCAATGTTGCTTAAATTTCTCATTTAATTGTGCTTGCTTGACTTGAGAGTTGAACAGAACCGTCTTGATTGAATCATGTGCAACGTGTGTGTGAGGATTCGTGATTCTCTATGCTATCCTGTGTAGTCTAGAACTTGCCCCGTGTGTTAATTGAAGCGAAATTGTAAGTTGTGCTAATCTAGGAGATGACGTAGGCATTTTCTTGCTTGATCATGGATGTGCTTGTCACATAATAATAGAATTTTCCGTTGCTAGCCCCTTTGAGCCTATAGACCTTTCTTTTGGCACCCACATTACCAGTCATCCCCTATTTTGTTCTTAATCTGATATTGATTGAACCTTTACCTCCTAAGGCACTTAGTAGCTAAAAGAAGTTAGGTTAGAGATTGGGGAGTATCTGTTGAGTGGAACCATGGAAGGGCTCGTTGATGCACTAAAGTTGAAATCAAAGGTCACTAGCCGATGAACTCTATGATTTAAAAGTTAAGGTTCCATCAAGACATAAACTAGCAATTGGGGAAATCACTGCCCTAGACCTTTTTATCATTGAATTATCTTTATTTTAGCTTACTGTTGTTTTTCATAGTATTTGAAGTAGTTAAACAAAAACCCAATCTTAATTGAGCAAAAAATCTTGCATCTAGAGATTGATTGAGTTGATAATAACATTGCTAAAGAGTGTAATAGATAGGTTAGTTCCCTGAGGATTCGATTCCGGACTTAAAACCGGATTATATTTGCAACGACCACTTTGTCCTTTAAAAGGCATAGTTGGGCGTTATCAGTAATCGAGCCGACTGATCCACTATAGTGGATCTTGTAAGCTAGTGAACGGTCCCGCATGGTTTGCATTAGAGGGCCCGCTTTCATCGTCCTTACCCAGATCTCTTCTATTCTGCCCTGCAGTGGTAGAACCTAGTGAACGGGGTGTACTATTTCCCAACCTTCTGTGAACTTTCAAACCCTGGGAGAAATGCAGCTGGATTTCTAAGTAGCCTTACTCACTTCATCTTCGGCTTTTAGAGTCGTAACCTAACCTCATCCTTTTATAGCTAGGTAACTAGCAAATAAGCTGGGTGAAAATAATAAGAAATTGGAAATACTGAGGTTAACTTAGTGTTTGACAAAGCTATGAAGATCTTTGAAGTCTCAAACATGGTGGCTGAGGCAATTGCGATTAAGGAGGCTTTTTTAAGTTATTGTTTTTATCCCCAGGTGCTACCAGTTATCATTAAGACTGACTCATTAGTGATTATTCTCGAAGATGATCTTGGATGGAATATGAGAGGTCCTTTGGAGCATTGATACTGTGATTGATGATATTAAGCAATTTCTACAAGATTTCCATGTTACTGTTGATCAATTTTGAGGGAGGGCAATGCGCTTCTTGATTATAATACTCTAATTTAGCATTTCATAGTGGAAGTGATGTTCAAATTCAAATTTAAAACCTAGACAACTCACAATGTCCAAACCTGCACATTAGAGTTCCGAAGAGATGACAGGTCAATCTGTATGAATTCGCATTATTGCCCTATGAATATTAATATGACATTACCTATCCTTAAGTGTGCGCCGGACATGGTTTTTATCACTTGTAACATTGTAGAGTCCTTCTACCCTCATTACTTGAGACTTATTAATAAAACTAGCCACTAGGTATCCTATCTATTGGTATATTAGCTTTAAAAACAACAAATCTACATTTTTCAGTCACAGCGCTTTCTCGAAACAGCTAGAATTTGCTGAAACATTCAATAAACCATTTCATTTACTGCAACACGTTTGATTATAGTCTTTCCCTTCCGTTTCCATGTATGCCTATGCCATAGAAAACAAAAGGTTTCCATGTATGCGTATGACAGAGAAAACAAAAGGTCAAACTAATCAGCTGTGTTCAGCTATATAAATAAACCTAGCAGTCATCCATCCCAATGACATTCTGAAGCTAAATCAAAAAACAAAAATATTAAATAAAGCTGATAAACCATGATTTGCATTGTTGTCATGGCAGGCAAACCCGAGAAGAGAACATAAGAATAACTAAACATTCTGTGATACAATCCGATAAGGAAAAAATATCCACAACTTAATTAGTCTGAAATTCTATCTTATGGACAAAACAGAACACCTCCTAAAGGATGCAAAAGATATCAAAGCATGCATTATACGACTCTTACATGAGGGAAGTAAAGTACCTTCACTGCACTTGCAGATAAAATGAGAATCTGAACGGAAAATAAATTTGAAGTTTTACATATGTCAGGTCGTAGCTAAGCTCCCTCAACCTGCTTGCCTTGGCACTGCACTGACATTTGCATTTTTAATTTTACTGTAAATTGGAAATCTTGTGGGCACCATTTAAAATAAAAGAGAAACCAGAAAAAGTAGATAACTAAATTCGTCATCTGGTGACCAACCAAGTCAGATAATTAGACAGCTGCCATACTTTCAAGGGCACTACATAAAAAACAAAGCTCAAGAAAAATCGCGAACTGAACACACAAAACGGATCCAGGAACAAGTTAACAGACGACTAATCAACCTAAATAGTGTCAGTTGACAGCTACTGACAGTATATTTCATTATCGCCATTTACATTCTTTGCTAAATAAGTTCACGATCTGGTGTAAAAAATTAGAGATAACGATAGCAGTCCCTACACAACAAGGAAATCATTGCAACAGAAGCTGCTCTACACCACAAATCACCATCAGATTTGGCTACTTAAGCATCCCAAGTCACCAATATCAATATCTTTTAATTTTAAGAAACTTCACCACAATTGTCATCACATTCGCACAGAGCTTTGACTTCTCATGTCTACCCAATTCTGCCAGTGTTATGACGTTTGAGATCGCAAAGGGTACATGTCATCTCAAAAGACAATTCTTGCATCCATCATATCGGATTCGTTGCAGACAGTGGTTGTGCAACTTCACCAAAGAATGCAAGTAAAAAGAACCAAAAGAACGAATGAGAAGTAAACATCACTGAAGGGCCAAGAGATAAGTGATCATATATGACATCTTCTATCACTATCCATGTATTCAGATCCAATTATTGTTTTTTTGTTTTATATTAAGGATATCCAGATCTAATCATTACCTTTAAATGTGCAATACTTTTCTGTGAAATTCTTCGTCAATGAAAAATCTATGTAGTGCCTTTCTTCTTTACACCGCCGTCTCTTGCAAACAGAATATAAAGATCAAAACATATGTAGCTAAATATACGATATAATCCAAAATACTCGGTATCCAAATCAATTGCGAGAAAATTGTTTAATCGAAATATGTTACATACACGAGTTTCCTTCGAAACAGTTCCTTAATAGATAAACTGACTATGCCACCCAGCCATGCATGCAGTTGCATGATAAGGTTCCAGCGCCCAGTGATAGTCAACCTGCAACAAAATCTGAGACATGTACAATAGTCAAAGCATTTTTTCCGTGATATACTGTCAAAAGTGCCCTGCTAAAAGAATAACACAAGTGATCGTCAAAACAAGTTTTGCATCTTCCTTTCAACGCATGGCTCTCTAACCTCAACCACATCGACCCTGAGTATTAGACAAAACACCAACAGTTACTGCATGCTATTCACTTATCTTAGCAAAACAAGCCACCAGTCCCCAACTCCCCCTGCTGCAATTCCTTTCTTCGCTGCTCCTCTAGCGGATCTGGACTCTTCACTACTCTTCGCGCACGCCTAAAAGCAGAATAAGGTAGGGATAAGATCACCTTAAGAGATTAACAAATTCTCAAATATTTGATAATGCACAACTTTTTCCTAATCAAGTATGACTGACAATTGAAGTTCGCGGGATTAACCTGTCTTGCGCATGCTGTGCAGGGAAGGTAGGCATGAATTCTTTGGACTTGGGAAGAGGAACTTCACGAAACCACTCATGGTTCAACGCAGCTTCAGCAGTTAACCTCTGCAGTTTGTCACCACAAACAATAAGCTTTTGAGCAGGAAAGATTAGCTTAGAGCAAACTTACAAGTTCACATATGTTTGGTTATTAATACCTGATCCGGATCATAAGTGAGTAGCTTGTTCAACAGGTCAAAACCAGCATCAGATAGTCCAGGTTCCATGAAGGATGTGGCCGGAAATTCCTTTCTTAACAAGTTATACCTGAAACGAATAATCATGGGTTAACAGAAACATGGAAATATTTGCTGTCAAACTGAAATCGTAGCCAAGCCGGACAGCCAGACCAGAATCACTCAAAGCTGGAAGCCTGGGAAAACAGTAACAAAATAAAGAAATGAATCTCCAGTTGTCTATTGTAGGGATAAAATATAGCAGAAAATAATACTTACTTATGCTTTACAAAGTTGACTTTCACCCCAGGGAGTTTGGAAAACCCCGGCCATATCGTCTCATTTGGGGTGCCAAGGATTCTGAAAATCTGGAAAGGGAAAACCCCACAAATAGGTGTTAGAAATTACATCGCCGAAGCCGTAAGTAACTCTCCACTAATTACAAAATAAAGCAGCTGGAAGAGAGACCTTGTTAAGTTGATCAACTTCTGATTTCCCATTGAAAAGCGTTTCTTTCCTCAGCAATTCAGCCATGATACAACCCAATGACCACATGTCAATAGCAGTGGAATATTGTTTCGCTCCCAAAAGAAGTTCAGGTGCCCTGTAAGAATACTAATTTTTCAATCCTTATCACTAAAAGATCAGATAGAGAAAGAATTTAACAGAAATCTTTTTTGGCAATAATTTTTCAATCCTTGTCACTAAAAGATCAGATAGAGGAAGAATTTAACAGAAATCTTTTTTGGCAACATACACAACTCAACAATAATATGTCCATGTACTTAAAACTTTTCGAATAAATTAAAATCAAAACAAGTAAAAGCATTGAATTGAAACTCACCTGTACCACAAAGTAACCACCAATTGAGTATACGTTTTCAGGGGGCTCCCATATTGACGAGCCAATCCAAAGTCACAAATCTTCAACTCACCTTGGTTATTTAACAGTAAATTTGAAGTCTTCAGATCTCGGTAAAGCACCCAGTTATCATGAAGATACTTGACACCCTCCAAAAGCTGGAGCATAAGGCATTTGACTTCACTTTGGGTAAATCGTTGTTTCATTGTCTCCATCAACGCCTTCAGGTCATGCTCCATGTATTCCATCACCATGAAAATGTTGTCAAGTTTGCTCCCTACAACTACTTCTTTAACATCTACAACTGCGGGATGGTGGAAAGAGAGGAGAATGTTTATCTCCCTTAGAGATGTCAAAGGAAACCCTTCTCGTTCCTTTTCCATTTTAACCTTCTTTAGAGCAACAATTTCTCCTGTCTTCTTGTCTCTAGCTCTGTAAACAACTCCATATGTACCTTCATCTATCTTGTTAAGCCTCTCGTATTCATCCACGCTTCTACACCCCTGAAGCATGTTTACGCTCCTTTGAGGAGGGAACGAAGCTTCTAGTACACCACAAGAATCATGCTCGTGTTCGTATTCTGTATCTGATTGGCTAACACTAGCATCATCATAATTACGGTCCTTATCCACATCCATGGAGTCATTCTTGTCTAAATTATTTTCCTGGTAACTATCTCTACTAGAAGACCTAATATGATCATCAGATTCTGAGGGTCGCGCCCTATTTCTCTTGGGGTTCCCAATTTCAGGGGTCAGTGATTTCCTACGCCCACCTGTTTCAGTCGACCATGACCCTAGTTTCCTACTCTTTAATCGAGGAATTTTATTGTCGGCAACTAGGAAAACATCAACATCAGTCACCCATCGAGATGCTCTTATATGGACATATTCACCATGTTCAAGTATTTTAGCCTCTTGTTCATTGCTCGATTGCACCTCAACAGGAGGCGTCAAAGATATGTGGTCAGGAAATTCAGAAGCAGCTTCGTGGGAAACAGGTATAGCCTTCACCCTAAGCTGGGACTGCTCCGTATTATTATTAGTCATAGAATAGTTCTGCACCTTAGCAGCTGCCAGTGAAATTGTACGAATATTTGACACTCTATTCACTTTCTTAGCATCTTTATTATCCCAAATAACGGGTGAAAATTTTCTTATTTTGCTCTGTACAAGTAACTGGTCTCCATTGTCCGAATTGCTGGCCTGATCATCAGAAACACTCTCACTGGACGATGATAATTCCCCGGGCTCACGGTCACTCCTACCTGAATTACTCATCATCTCTCTTTCTTTTAAATTCATTCGTCTTAGCCTAACCCCGCTATCGCCGTTACGAAATCCATCATAATTTCTTTTTGAGTAACCAACTTCCCTCCTTGAAACCTCAAATTCCAAACCCTGGCCCCTAAATTCGTCGTCCCTATATTCACCATGTCTTCCAGCAGCCATATAAATCCCCAATTCTCCTCTAAAGATAAAACCCTAACCCTAAATTCACCCAAACAAGACCAATACACCGACTCTAATAGAAACAAAACTTATCTTCGAGAAAATAAGGGAATTGGAAGCTTACTGATGGTAGAAACGGATGAAAGGCGGCGACGGTGTCTTCTCCGATTCCGAAAGGGCAACCAAGTTCCGGCGGCCGCGTAAAGAGGCTTTTTAGATTAGCTCCTCCTATGTTTTATACTGTAATTGAGATTGCCTCCAGATTTTTGTTAATTGTTATTTGGTTTTCTGCAATTGAAAGGAACGGCCACAATGTTTCTTGTATCCTCGTTTTGCTCCCCTGAATATACAATAATAGAATATCTCCCCCACAAGAAAAAGCTCATGGTTCGTTTAGACTAAAAGGAACAAATATATATACTATTTTTTTTCAATAATAAAAGGAGAGTAGCTTTAAGACGCTTATGCGCGTACAATATTTAGAAAAAACTAATCACAAAGTATTGTTATCTAATTTGTTTGAGATGAGAAAATTAATATTTGTTGTCGTATTTTACTGATATATTTAAAATTTAAAAACAATAAACTTATGAAATATTAAAAATAAATATTAACATAATAAGTTTTTAACGTCATAGTCAACGCAAAACTTGCTTTGTCTACAATATTGGAACCTTTCATTAGAACACTTATTGCCTTAAACCTGCACTCTTCTCGTATAATAATCAAATTCTTCTGCTAGATTACAGCAATAAATTCAATGCTTAGTAAGGGGTTATGGAATGTTAGCATTTTAGGGATCTTTAGCTATATTCATTGTTTACTTTTTCTAGTCATATACATAGGTTATATATTGATTATATACAATTATGCACATATAATACATAAATTATTCATATATTACACTTCTACCGACTATTTACCTATAATAGCATTTAAGTTTATATCTTATTTGGGTAATGTAGGCAAAAATAACGTAAGAAAAGTCATTTTTTCTAAATTTTTATGTTATAAAAGAATATAAAATATTTAAATTTAAAATCTCATAGGATATTCATATTTCAAATTGAAATTTTAAAAAAGCTAATACAGTGAACTAGTTGTATTGTATCTAGAATTAAACTCTCTAAAGCACATGCTTATTTTAAAACTAATTGACAAATAAAATTTCCAAGTTTAATAGAAGTAGAAGAATCTACAATTGTAGTTTTTTTGGCAGATTCAGTCTTTTCGTGGAAACTTAGTAAATTTGATCAGAATTAGCACTGTTGTAATAGATGACAAAATTAATAGGTATGATATAAAGAAGCGGTGCTATAAAAAAGTGTACCTACATAATGATGGCCACTACTGTTAAAGGTAAATGATATAAAAATAAACTATAACAAGAAATTAATTCCACAGAAAGCTTGGTTGATATTAAAAAAAAAATATTCTAAACTTAAAGAAACATAATACTTTGATATTGATTTGGTCAAGTGACCTACATATGATTTACTAATGCAAAAGAGAAAAAAAAAATTATGAGAGAAATTCTCTCCCTAAATGAAACTCTCGTAAGAACTACATTGTAGATGTTCTTGTTGATATAGTGAAAAGTTATTATAGAAGATAATCATTATAGAGAAATCTGACTTTATATGCCAAATCATACCCAAGGCTAATGAACAATATGCATTCACTACTTCCTAAATTCCTTGCATATGCAGATTCAGTTAATCCCCATGCAAGAGTGCAATCTTCACAAGTCAAAACACCTCAATTTGGTATAATGTGAATTTTCTTGCTTGCTTAAGTTCATAAAATCCGCCACAAGTGAATAAGCTTGTGCCCTATCCGCCATAAGTGAATTTTATTGCCCGCTCAAGTTCTGTGTCGGGTTTATCTCTGCGCAAAACTTGATCATAGATGTCTCTTCTTTATTTATCGACTTGATATTTCTTTTTGTAACAAAATAAAAAAATTTAAAAAGAAAAGAAGATAGTAACTCTTTTGACCAATCAATTAGTAGAAATAGATGACAGGAAGGAATGCGCTTCTCATCATATAAAAAATATTTAAAGCTAAGTACAATAATTTTACCTATCGGGTAGAACATTATTTTCCCTTTCGAACCAGAACATCGTCTTCTTAATTAAGCTATTGAATGTACTAGTAAGAGCATCTTTAGGAGGGGTTTTCCTTTGTCAAGTAGTTGATTAGTACGTATTTATATTTGTATGCGGTGAAATTGATAATCGGTAGGTGGATGTTCGACGAGTTGACACGTGGAAGAAAAGATATGTAAGGTATGAGTCAGAAAATAATTGGCACCGGATGCAACACATGTAATCGGTGTTGAATAAGTTCCTGAGGCATTAGAACCGAGAAAGAAGATTTGAAAGGAAGACATCGGTTGGAAAATATAGCATTCAACGAGCAGTCGTTACAAAGAATCTCTTTACTAATGTTCAATTGTTATGCAGATTTTATTCACATTAAATAAGAGCTTGATTTGAGAATCTTGACTCCCTGAATAAAGCTATAAATAAGACAATTTGCATTCATTATAGGACACAAAACATTACATAAAAGAAAAAATATTTTCTTATTCTATCAATCTACTTTGTTTCTTTTGTTCTTGATATTGCTCTTATCATTGCTTCCAGAGAAGCTAAATCCATAGCCACACTTGTATTTATTCAAGTTTGTTTAATCAATTCATTCTTGTTCTTAACTTTTTATATTCTTGGATCAAAATAATTCACGTATCTATAATTCATGTTACAAATTCAACTGCAGTTTTGCGTCCACAGTGGGGCATAGACAATTGTGTAATTACTTTGATCCATTTATCTGTTACTAATGCGGTTTTAATACTTTTCTTTAGTAAAATAAAAATCATATATGGTAGCTAACAACGTGAACAATTCTTACAAAGTTGGAACAAATAATGAGCGTGGGGATGTGTTCCAAAATGATTGAACTAGTGAAACTCGCAACGAAGGAGATAAAACAATTCCAGTTCGCCAAGAATAAAATCTTCGGCATGTGAGAAGTCCAACTCTTGATGATGCGGATGATGAACATGTTGTTGAAACGATCAAAATTTTGAGGGAGCAACAAAAAAAAAATATGTAACATCTCTCAAGACAAGATCGGGTAATGACGGAGTTGAAGCAGACACTTTCGGTTGCTTCCAATAATTCTAGTGAAGGAATTCGAGCTCTTCCCAGGGTGCCTGCAAATCAAATAGTGCAAAGAACCGGTAATATTTTCAAGGAAGGAGTTTGATTTTAATGAAAATGAGGCAGGTGGTGTAGGTAGTGGATCCGGGAACGACAATAATGCTAATGATCCTTTTAAAACCGAGTTCATGAGATTCATGAGAGAAATAAATGAACGAATTGACCAAAATGCTAAGGAATTTCATGCTCAGATGGATCATATCCGGGGAGCACCACCGGTGGTAAAGGGACTAGATTCAAAAAAATATACACAATTGCCGTTCAAATCAAGTGCGGCCTCGGAATTAATTCTGAAAAGATTGAAGATGCCTGACATCCCGAAGTATGATGGGACTTCGGATCCATCAAAGCATATCACAACTTACACTAAGGCTTTAAAAGGAAATGGCTTGGCCCCGCACGAGATAGAATCTGTCCTATTGAAAAAATTTGGCGAAACTCTAATGAAGAGTGATTTAACTTGGTATTATCTTTTACCTGAGCATTCGATTTACACTTTTAAAATGCTTCTAAATTCTTTCATTAAAGCTCACACTGGGGCAAGAAAAGTCCAAGCTAGAAAACTCAAGGAGAGTATGAACTATTGCGAGAGTTTGTGATCCGATTTCAAAAGGAGAGGATGTTGTTGTCAGCAGTACCGGATGAGTGGGTAGCTGAAGCATTCACCAAAAGTCTCAATCCATTAAGCTCAGATGTCTCCAGGAAATTGAAGGAAAGCTTGTTGGAATTTCAGGAAACTATATTGGCTGATGTCCATAATCATTATGAATCAAAAATTAGAATAAAAGATGATCAACTGAGCTCTTCGGTGTCTTCCAAAGGGCGTAGTCGTGATCGAAATAAGGAGAAGTTCAAAATTAACGTCAATGCAGATCAGAGGTCTTCCAGAAGTTGCTTTCAGCCTTACAAAAAGGTTGATAAGCGTGAAAATAAAGGATTTCAGTCATCGAACAGATTTTGCTTCCGATAGAAGGGCAGAACGTGGTCGGAGTAGCAGAGCTTTACAGGAGAAGGAACCATTAGGGTCCTGGGATTCAGCATACCCTCAGTTATACGACTACAACTTTAACATCAACTTAGTAGAATTGGTGTCGGCTATGAGAAACATTAAGAAGGCTAGATTCCTGAAACAAATTCGATCGGATCCTAGTAACTTTAATGTTATTACTTAACCAATATAACATTGTTCTAAACCGAATGGTATTTTAGTAGTTTATCGTGTCGCTTAATTTCAACCATCTATCTTCTTACTTTTGATAATATAGAGCTCTCTATGATTGACAAAATAATTTTACGACATATTTAAATTTTTTAATTTTGTGTCAATTTTTTTTAATAAATAAAAGATGTGATAATAAGTTTACATTTTTGGAGAAATAATTTATTCTATTTAAATTGTAAAGAATTATGTTCAACAATTTCATTCCCTGCGCTTGAAGTGTTGTTCAAGAAAAACCAATAACAAAGTCTGCTTTTTTTTCCACTCCACAGGTTCTCAGACCAAAAACCTTTCCGCAACATAGTTCGTTTCGTCGTTCTCTTCAGTCCCAGAATGTCGGTAAGTATTTCTTCTTCTTCCTATCCGTAGAAGATTATACCCAAATGTTTATAACCCTAGCTTGTCTCATCACTCTCTCAAACCTAACTTTAAACCCAGTTTTTTCACAGAAATTTTAGATAGTAGAGATTCTCTTCTTAAAACAAAACCTAAAATGGGCTTGATTAGAATGGAATAGATATAGAGGATTTATATAGCTGAACCCAAATAGTTTGAGATTGAGATGTAGTTGTTTGATTGATTTTGATAGAGATAAAAAAAACTTAAATGTTTATTATCTAAGTTGTTTTCATGGACCTAGCTTTAATGCAAAAATTTTAGATAGTATTGATTTAAAAACAAGAAACTGAAATAGTATTTGATTAGAACGGAATAGATATAGAGGATGCAGTTGACCTCAAATAGTTTGAGATCGAGATTTAGTTGATTGATTGATATTGATAGAGAGAAGAAACTGAAATGGGTTTGATTAGAAAGGAACAGATATAGAGGATTTATGTAGCTGACATCAAATGGTTTGAGATCGAGTTGTAGTTGATTGGTTGATTTAACTGCTGTGAAAAAAAGAAACTGAAATATGTATTATCAGAGATGGGTTTCTGTACCTATCTTCAGGGTGGATGTAAAGTAGCGGTGCCGGATTTACCTGTACTTTTGACGCGAAGCATAAATTTATATGTAAAAATTCACTAAAATTACAACAAAAGGTAGGTCTTAACCTATAAGTTTAAAAATACGATAGGTTCAATACTAAGAACCTTAAAGGTTGAATCCATAGAGTTTAAATCCTAGATCTGCCTCTGCTTATCTTTTATGGATGAATTTCAGATAGCAGAATGGGCAATGAGGATTCGGATATGCAATCCCAATTAGCATGGAATCAAGGGTAGTCCATTGATTTTGATATAGATAAAAATAACCGAAGCATGTATTATTGAATTTTGTTTTGTAAAGTGGGTTACTAATATTATGTGTTTGGTTACGGTGGTCTGTATAAACAAATTGAGCTTAATTGGTTGATTGATTTTAATAGAGATACAACACTTAACTATGTGTTATCAAGGTTGCTTTTTTGGACCTAGCTTTTGTGCAAAAATTTTAGATACAGTAGATAAGAAAAAAACTGATATGGGCTCGAATATAGCGGAATGATACAAAGAATTCATTTTGCTAAACCTAACTATTTTGGGATTAAGGCATAGGATTTTATGATCTAGCCGTAGAATTGGTTTTGATGGAGATAAAGAAACTGAAATATGCATTATCAAAGCTGGTTTTTCATAGTGTGTTATTGATTATGTGTTTGGTCATGGTGATGTATATGTATAGATCTTTGAGTACAATGGAAGTGCCCTAGTGGCAATGGTGGGGAAGAACTGCTTTGCAATTGCAAGTGACCGGAGACTTGGTGTGCAGCTGCAGACAATCGCCACTGATTTTCAAAGAATATTCAGAATCCACGATAAGGTTTTCATTGGCCTTTCAGGGCTGGGTACCGATGTCCAAACACTGTAATTCCAATCCCTTTTCTTTTATGTTCTTCTTCTGTTGCTCTTTGCATGTGTCGGTCTTGGTATATATGCTTGAGTGCTAATTGAATTGGATTTTTACAGAAATCAATCAATCCAATGACGCAGATCCTTGTTTTTCTGGAGAAGAGATAAACTTATCATATTATTATTTTCTCATGATCCACCATGCATATTGTGGGACATTAAGAAGACCTTTTCTGTATATTAATAACCAAAATATAAATACGTTACAGAAGAGGACATAAAACTTTGCGTCCTCAAATCCTATACGCGGAATTGAACAAACTCATTTAATGTATAAAAGATAATTGATGCAGAAGTGCCGTATGCAGTTTGATTTGACCTTGTACTCTGATGTTGTAAAAGTTGTATTTTTAGCCTAGTGAAGGATGTAAAATATTATAGAGAACGGCGGTGGGGTTTACTAGGGATCAATTTATTATATTGGTATTATTGTTTGGGTGAACATTAAAACGTGAATTGTTATACTATGAACAATAATATATGGTTTATTATGCAGAGATTAAAGTTTCAAAGTCATGAATTAGCTTTATCTTGATATTGCTAAGGCACGGATTTGTATTCCAGATTATGCTCCTATAAAATAAGACATTAATTCATGGATAAGTTATGCAAGTATTATATAGATGGACTTTTATACTGGAAATTGAGCACAGTATTAGTTATGCAAAGTTGTATTAGTACTACAAGTTTAATATGAGACACTAAACTTTATATTACGACGATAAATACGCTTCCCAAGCAAGTTGGGTTGGCTATATGGATCCTCACTAACCATGATGCTCTGATTAAGTTCATCTTAAACCCATATTATACAAAGCCTTTGTATTAATAATGCAAAATCTTGTGACGGTGTTATTTTCTCTTAAACAGCAAACCAAATGAGCATTAAGTGAATGAAATCAAGATATTGAGTCATCTTTGTGGCATTATGAAATATAAGGTGCTATAGGACTTCATAAACGAATTTGAGTTTGAACGGCTTATTAAAGTGCTTCTTCACATATAGGAGGGATGCGTAAGAGTGAGACAAATCTTATATCAAGCTTAACTCTTTCCAGTTTTGTGTTGCTTTCTTTGGGATGTGGGATGGGGAGGGACTGGAGTGTCATCTCTTTATTGATTTGATTTGTTTTGGTTATGTCACTGATATGTACCTTTGATCGGTTTTTGAAGGTATCAACGGCTAGTGTTCCGTCACAAGTTATATCAGCTTAGAGAAGAGAGGGACATGAAGCCTGAGACTTTTGCCAGCCTTGTATCTGCTCTTCTTTATGAGAAAAGGTTATTACTATTTATATGTTATGTGGCTAGTTATTTCCTAAAGAGACTTCATGCACTGTTCATGTGTGAATAAATTTTGTTGAGAGTTGGAACAAACTTGAAAGGTGACTGCCTCCAAGACCGGAAAGCAATTTGATCACTTTGGTGGGTGAAAGTTTACTAAATACTTCTAAATGTGTATAAACATCGAGATAGTGCATGTTTATCTTTCATCCTCTACGCCCGTGCCTTCAAGGCTATACTATTTCTTTACCAACATTCCGTCAATACTAAAACATATCTGCAGCAGATATTACGATTGTGTCAATGTTTTCCAATGACTTGGTGGGGATAATACTTGCTGAAATAAGCTGCAAGTTATTGAAAACACTGACAGATATTCTCTCCTCTATAAATTAAGAATCTTTTGGTCCATGTAAACTGATATTTACCTTCTGACGCTTCCGATCTGCTTTTTCCCCATTCCCTAAACTTGAGCCACCATTTTAAGCTTGAATCAGTAGATAATTCATTGGATCTTGATTTTATTTTTCCTTTCAATGATGAGTGTGGGATGTTTGCCTTTAATAGCGCAACTCAATGGCAGCCTTACTTTTGTCTCTTCTGTCTCTTTTATTGGAAAATAACCTATTAAAATAGCTATGGTTGACTCTGTGTGTGTGTATGGCACTATGTGTATAATGGTTCTACCAATAATTGCGTTATGAATTTGGTTTCTATTTAGGTTCGGTCCATACTTTTGCCAACCTGTAATTGCTGGATTAGGAGATGATGACAAGCCGTTTATTTGCACAATGGACTCTATTGGAGCAAAGTATGTTTAGTTTTCTACTTCTTCAAGTTAGTTTTTGTTGGGCACTTCGAGAGGCTTTCCCTACAATATGTTGCTTATGATATGGCTACTTATACATTATGCGCAGGGAGCTTGCCAAAGATTTTGTCGTTGCTGGTACTGCCTCAGAATCTCTGTATGGTGCGTGCGAGGCCATGTTCAAGCCTGACATGGTTTGTTACTCATCTCAATATAACTTAGTATAATACTCCGTAATCTAGCTCAGCTCAAATGACACGTCTGACGTCACCAGTCAATATTTTCCAATGGGGATAATGTGCCAAAGTTGAAATTCTTCTTTTACTTGATGCTTATTTCAGCCGAAACGTATTTGCTCAGGGAAAATAATTCTAGCTCCCCTTGGTTTATGTCCTATGTGGTGCTGATTTAAGAAAAGTGTAGGCAGTGTTTATATGATGGGTGGTGAAGTAATGCACTATCTCTTTGTTGCTTTGCTGTAGCTAGGCGTCCTGTCTTATTCACAAAACCTTTTCGCTCATTGGTAAGCTGAAATAAATTTGGCCAGATGTCAGTATTCCAGGAGTGGAAATCCTGAAACAATGTTTATTCCAAGATCAGACTACATAGAACCAATGTTTTAAAAGGCTTTTTTGGGACCCTCCTGGGGCTCGCCCCTGGGCGGGGCATTTTCAAAACGCCCCGAGACTCATGTGTGGGGCTTAGTTCGCGAGGCTTACGCCTCAAACGCTGGACTGTGCTCCCTAAACACGCTTAGCGCCCAACATCCGGGGCTCGCCCGATAGTTATTACTCAAATCATTTGTTAAATTTCATAATTAGCACTTAACAAATGAATGATTAAAGTGCTATTCATATATAGGAATATGAAGATTGAGAGTAACTCAAATAATATGTCATAATATTACGTATCTACTAATTGAGAACAGCGTGAAGGTGAATATAATTTGAACATTCTTCTAAAATAGATTACAAAAAATTATATCTTTACTTGCTATTTACCTTCATGACTTAATTCTATGTCTCTCAAAACTATCAAACTTTCAATATTTTGCCATTTGAAAGTAATTTTGTATTTACTCATGAAAGAGTAATATTTTAAAATTACTGTACCAGTGAAGTTTATTACTGAATATTTACTTTTAGGGAGGTAGAATATTTTGTTTAATAATATTTATTAAGAAATTATAACTTTCTAATTATTTGAAAGTTAATACATATAATTTATTTGTATTTTGTAGTAACATTAACATTATTGATTGTTTATGTCGGTAAAACATGCTAGATATTATGAGTTTTTCTAATTATTTGTAATTTTTTTAAACTTTTAATGTACTTCCTATTTATTAATTTATAAATTAAAAACTTTAAAGATTCATGGGGCTTACGCCCCACACTTCGGGGCTTACGCCCCACACTTCGGGGCTTACGCCTCGCCTCATAATAGGTAAAACGTCCCGCCTCACGTCACTGCCAATTATTGTCACTATTTTGATAAGTAGACTTTCATCAATTATTTATGAGTAGAATGCTTTCGCCGATGCAATTTTGAAGCTGGTTTGCAACAGTATGAGAGTGCCAAACATCCAACAACAACAAATCCATTGTAATCCCACAAGTAGGGTCTGGGAAGAGTGTCAAACATAGAAATAAAAAATGTACATTGAATTGCATTCTAGCTAAATTTGTCAAATGGCTTTGATAATGAAGTAACGGTATATGGTAACCACTTGTCTCCATGCTTTAGAAATTGAGACTTTTTTTATTAGCTTTATGAAGAGAATAGGAGAAAGCCTGATCTTCTACGTTTCTTTAATTGGATGCTAATGCTTTGTTGCTTCAACACATGAAACTTGTATTCAACTCTCAATTGTTGACGCAAATAAAATTATGTAGTGTGAAAAATATGTGCTTTTGAGACTTCTTGTTGACTGTCCCATATAAAGAGTCAATACGTAAACGCATCAATGTTTCAAAAGTTCTGAGTTCCTATAAAACCTGGTTGGTGGAGAATTATCCCGATATCTTGACTCTCCTTTCTTTGATTTCAAAATTTGTACTTTGCTTTCTGCCTTTGGTTCTTGACTTGCTGAACATCTATTTAATGAAAAAAATTTATTTAGGGTTTTTTCTTTCTTGTGTAATTTGCATTTCTAGTCTGTTGAGAATGAGATTTTTTAATTCTTTAATTGGGTGGTTAGTTAAGGTGGCACTAAATCTTGCATGAATTGATTGTCTGCAATACCAATGAGATGATATAGTCCATCGTTAGTAACATTATCTGAGTCGCTTTCACAGTTCAGATCTTTCACTCCCATGTTTTCTTTACATCCTTTAAAATATTTTCTTGCTATCATTTCTTTGCAATACGTCCGTCATAGTCATGCATTTATGTCTGGTTTCTATGGAGATTATTGACTCCTTACCGCAACACTACCATTTCAGGGACCAGAAGAATTGTTTGAGACCATCTCGCAGGCCCTCATAGCATCAGTGGACCGTGATTGTTTAAGTGGTTGGGGAGGACATGTTTATGTTGTGTAAGTGTTCAATGCTCCGCGTTTTTATTGCCTTCCTTTAGAATAAATGACTGCAGGAATCCCTGTGCTTAAGAACTGCTATATAATTTTTAAAATCAAGTCCGTCATCTATTATGTTCAGTGACTTCTTGTTGGCGAAAAAATATTCCTTAAGTTAAGCATTGAGGGGAAACAGTTTTTTTGCCAAATCAAGGACTTCTGATGTCAATTTTCATGCTTAAAGCTACATTTTTAAATTCCGGGGATCACTAAAGCTCCAAATATTAACATACCTTTATACCTCTATGTCTCGTTGTCTCTTTGGTTTCAATGGCTAATGGGGATCATGTGGGGTTAGGGGGGGCATAATACTTCATGATATACTATCAGTTAAAGCTAGTTAATAGCGCAGTTCTCACTATCTTATTTGGTCCAATCTTTTTGTTGTTGCAGTACACCAACTGAAGTGACTGAGAAGATCTTGAAGGGAAGGATGGACTAGACAAACTTTTTCATTGGTGTCCTAAACTTTGTTCATTGCATTCCCAGGAAAATGTTCTTTTGTGATGAATGCCCCTATGCTTATGTTTGATATTATGTACTCTTTTTGTACCATTTTATATTGCATTCTTTCTTAGCATGTTCCAAAAGAATGATGCTTTTTTTATATTTGGTATCTCTTAACCTTCTCATTTTACCCTTAATGGCATCTTATATAGCCATATAAATGTCATAGTAGGCTCAAACCTATAAGTTTAAGAGCACTTTTGGTATGTGTTAGAATCTTTTTCTTCGACTCCGTGCTTAGTCAAGTACGGCAAAATGAAATGGAGGGAGTCTTCAATTTCTCTTCTCCGGGATTTAGTTTGTACTTTCCTTGTTTATCAGGGTTGAATGTTTATTTTCTAAGAATTTGACGTTTTTCTGAGTTGTAGAGGTGAAATGGTTTTTATGTTGAAGCACGTACCCGCACAAGATATATACTAGTCTGCTCGAAAAAACCTTGCCACATCTGTTGTTAAACACTAAACTATATTAGTTTACCATGATTTATGACAAAATGAGGTAACAATTATATTAATTATCTGTAACTTATGTTCTAACATTTATATAAAGAGTAAATGGTCAAGGTCCAAATGGATGCCAAATCCACTTGCGCTATAGGCTATGGCTTACACGGTATGTAGTTAGACTCGTGCAAAAAATGGGATGTTTTTTATTCTAGCGTTGGTTATATCATATGGTTTTATCTTTGAATTGTGCATTTTAATTGCACATCCTCGAACTCGATGATAGTACCATTCATGCTCTGTTTTACTCCGTCCTTTTATAGGCCATTAGTTCATATAAATACATCAAGAAGTGATTTGAGTTATTGCTATTTGACTCTGGACCAATTCTCAAATAGCCAGAGGTGTTTGTAGACATGGACAAAATAAGGAAAAATTTCTGAAATTATTTCCACTTGGACATATAAAAGTTCAACATTGAATCTTAGTTTAGGGGCTTGGATGCCCTTGTATAGAATGGGTTGGTAGATGTGACATCCTTAAAATAGGTTTGATTAAATCCAATACGTCTTTAGAAACAACGGAAAATTTTATTTTGTGTCTCATACAACTGACACTAGTTGTATGAGGCAACTTTTTTGTCTCACAGTTGTGTGAACCCAGAATTGTAAGATTCGGGTCCACAAATTTGTGAGACAACCTTTTTCGGTCGCTATATAATGCAAATGCTGATATCACCTAAATCTAATACATTAATTTGACAGAGCTCAGTAAATATCCTCTTCGAGCAATGCTTTAATTTGAACCAAGGGGAAGAATCTATCACAAAATTTGGTGTTTATTCCTGTTTGCAACAAATTATTTGTGATACAAAAATAAATTGCAACCACAATATAAATATGAAGAAACATAATTTTATTGATAAAACAATATGGGTACGATTCTGTTTGTTCCCTTAATTCTTCTCTCTAGATCGGTCTCAGTGATTCGAGGGCTTAACCAGCGTATTTCTCGAACATAGGATGATGCGAATTTCCTCATGATGTATTTGATCTCCATGAAAAGGAAGAACAGTCGTTGATCACTTTGGCGGCTTTGAGAAAGACAATATTTGATGTCTTTGATCTCTTTGTGAATATTTCATGAACTTTTATGAAATTTCGAGATGCCTCTTCAAGGGAATATGTATCCCTTTATATAGGCGTGAGTTAGGGTTTGGGTAGAGTAGCCTCCAAGCAACCCTAATAGACTCCTAGCATTTCAAGAGTCTTGTAGTATCTTGAATTTAAGATTTAGCTTGATCTGTCAAAATTTTGATGTCTACCATACCAAACATATATTAGCCTTATTAGTTTGGAGCTTTATATGTTAGCATTTTATGAGTCTTTACACCCACATTCTCCACCCTTTTCTTGTGGATTTTAAGTATTTATTGATTTGTATACGAGGGGCATTTGCATCTATACCCGCTTTGTCAAAAAGATTGCAAGCGTACCCACTTTTCGCGTAACTTCAGGCATACGGGCCTGAAGTAGCAAAGACATTCACGCAAACTTCAGCATTTTAGTAGACGGGCCTGAAGTAGCAAAAATTGTTGAACCAAGTGTTGGCTGAAGTTTTTGTTTGTAATTGCTGAACTTAAGCATTCTAGTAGCTGAAGTTTTATTCTCTATTTGCTGAACTTCAACATGTTTTAACTGAAGTAGTTTTGTTATATATTTGTTGAACTTCAGCATATTTTAGCTGAAGCTTTGTTATGTTTGTGATGAACTTCAGCGCTGAAGTTTGTTTTGTATTTGCTGAACTTCAACGTTCTAGGAGCTAAAGTTTTTATTTATATTTGCTCAACTTCGGCATTCTTAGAGCTGAAGTTCTAAGTCTGCACTTAACGTTCCAACTATCACCACTGCCTAGATGGTATTACCGGCCAGAGGAATCAATCATGGAACAAAGGAATTATTCCTGTCTGACCACTACGATGTTTGAGCTGGCCACAATATAGTAGGAAATACTAAGCTTGAGAATGTTGGTCCGGAGGATTACTACTGTCGGTTCGAGCATAAAACGGCAACTGGAGCTTTTATGCCTGATATGGTTGCAGTGTAAGTGTATGAAATTTCGCTCCGGAGGAGAAGAAGGAGGCATGAAATTGTTTAAAAAATGGGTACAAATTAAATTTTTTTTAAAAAGTGAGTAAAAGTTAAAGGGGGCGACCAAATAGGGCGTCACATGCAATTTTTACTGCATACGATATGCCTAATCGGATCAAATATATAGAGCTTGCTTGTAAGTTTTATGACAATTATAGATACTCCAACAACTAATAAATTGAATTTAACTTCTTCTTCTTTTTTTTTTTTAATAGTTTTTTTGGGGTTAAACTAAAAGCCCAACAAGGTGTCTGAGCCACTGATTTGGCACAGGTCATTAAAGTTTCAAAATTGTTATGTTTAGCTGGGGCGTATCCAGTAATTAGGGGTGTACAAACCGAACCGGAAAACCGCACCAAATTGAAAAGTCAAATCAAACCGATTAAAAAATCCGACTAGGTTTGGTTTGATTTGGTTTGGTATTGAGTAAAAAAATCCGAACCAAACCGATATATAAATATGTATTTTTTATATATGCTTTAAAGACTTTATATAGAATTTTCTTTAAAAGATGTCTAGAAATATTTGGGATTATCTTGCGGGATATAATATTTAATAGTATATGAAGTGCTCCATATTTATTAACCTTAAATAATGGGCTATATGATCACTTTCTCATCAAATGTTACTGAATGCGTCAATCTCTTTGTTCTTCCATATTCATATCATATATTAAGATCTACTAAATTGTTAGTGATTATTATTATTTAGGTATCATACTGATTTTATGTTTAATTACTAAATTCGGTTAACCTTGAAAGTGTACATCAACGAAACATTATTGTCATACGACTAAAAAAATAACTATTATGTGTTACTAAGAAAATTCTCTCATAAGAATATTTTAATAGATAATATGTTTGTCAATTTTTTTTATATTTTTACTAAATATATATTTACTTATCAAAATTTTTAAAAAGTAAGATTAACATAATATTTAAGTAACAAATTAAAAACCCTAAAAATCCGACAAAACCGAATCAATCCAATCCGATATAGTTGGTTTGATAAAAACCAAACCAATCCGGTCTATGTACACCTCTATCAGTAATATAGTTATGGTTGATTTAAACCTATAGCTTTTAATCTAGATATGTACTTATTTGCTTAAAACTCACAGAAATTGTTAAAATTATTAAACTATAAATTCATAATTCAAATAAGGTGGTGAATTCAGTAGTTGAAACCCGCGTATTAAACCCATAGAATTAAAATCCTAGTCCGTCTAGATAGGATAGAAGTACTTCCGCAAGGAAGGTTTATTAAGCATAGAGGGTTTTAAATAGCCAACTTGAAAATGTAATCGGTAAAAAATATGTTAAATTTTTTTTAAAACCTAAAATATCTCAACAACCTAAAAATCTAACAGAGATTTAAAACGAAAAGTAAATCTATCATATAACTAAGCAACTTATTATGCTAAAAATGTCACCAGTTTAATGGTTTGTATTAACATTGGTTGAATAATATATTTTCCTCATCTACCTGTATCGAATACGTATTCATAGGTGGGTCCATGTAACATGTCATAGTTACATTTTAAATTAACTAAACTTAGTGTACGCGCGTTGTGCGTGTATCCCATCTCCATGAGTAATTTTTTTCTAAAATTATATGAGTATTATTTTAATTTTCTAACTCAATAAAGGATAAAAGTTAGGTCTTATAGAAGTCTTCGATCATAATTCAACATTATTCTAGTTTTATAATTTTTTTAGTTTAATTTCGCAAGTTATCACACATCCCTTTTAGTTTGAAAAAACACAATCTTAAAGATTTAAGAATTTTTATGAAAATATCTTTGAAAAGAAATTCTCAAATTCATTTGAGAAGACATACTTTTATTAGGATTCTTCAAAGTTTATCTCCTCAAATGGTATAATAATTTATTATTTATATAATTTTGCAAAATGTGTGCGCGTAAAGAAAGCATTCCTTAAACATGAAAATTTAAGATGACAAACAAGTTATTCAAACATAATCATTTCTCTAATTTAATAATTTATGAAAAGTTATTGAAATCCCATCATACTTTGCATGTGGAATATGTATGTGCAAGTTAGGATTCTTTGTCGAGAAAAGTTATTAAATATTCCAATATCAAGGAAGGAGTTATAATTATTTTACATATGGAAAGAATTATTATTACTTAATTTTAAATATAAATATTAAGAATTTTAAATAGTTCAACTAAGAAAAAAATTTAATACTCTAAATTTTAGTTAATTTTAAAGTCCTAAATATTTAAAAAAAATATAATATGAGTATTATATTTAATGTAACGTTATTTTAAGTTGTAAAAAGGTGATTAACATTTTACCTAGAGATTTCGTGTTTTTACTGACTTATCACTAGATTAGAATTGTTATTTCTTCTAACTTCCTCAATTAACAAAGAGCAAATTATGCTATATATCTATTCTACCCAAAATAATTACCCGCCTTTACCTATTCTAGAAATAATTACAATATATACTATGTAATTCCCCGTTAATTCTTCTTTCTATTTTCTTCTTGTTAAAGCTAATTTTTCTCCTCCTTTTTGCTTTCTTCTCTTATCACTTTCTCTGCTCTTTCTTTCCTTTTGCCAATATCCCTACATTTTTTTTATTAGATATATGATCTATTTATCTCTCTCTCCTATCTTTATCATTTGTCCCAACAAAAAAAAAAGCTAAAAAAGAAAAATCTATCAA